CCAGGTGCTAGGGGATTTAGAAGCAAAGGGTGATTAGATCAAGTTTGGGGAATGCAGAAAAGGAAAATCCCTGCTGATCCCTGATAGTTAAACCAATGTGTCCTCTAGGCTCAGAAGAAGTATGAGCTAGAAGCTTTCAGCAGCTGGAAAACTTAATAGTTACATAAAACAGAGCTAAGTGTATTCAGTGAAGAAATGAACCTATCGATAACTTCTCTGTGTCAGCTTGAACCCCAATGGTTCATGTTAGCCCCAAACAATTAAAGTCTCAAATTACGGTATCTGATTGGAACTTCCTTCATTCTTTTGACAGGTGGCTGTTGACATGACCAGCAGAAAACACAACCGTCACTATCATTTCTGACTAACTGCATTACTGTAGTAAGACCTAACAACTCTGATCAGCTTTACTTTTTTCAGTCTTGTTTGGGTTCAGAACATTTCTGAGTGATTAGCCACACAGGTCTATAAATATCGATGCCTTTCATTATTGTATTCTCAGTACTTGGCCTAACATATAGCACATAGAAAACCCTCAATAAATATCGATGGAGTCAATGAGCAAGTGAATGAAGGTTCCAGGAAGAGAAAAAAGTGACCACCCAGTGTCTCTGCGCAGAGGGAGTATCACACGCTACATGCCAAGGACCCTTTTGACAGGCGCTGGAGCTGCAGATTCCTTCTGGGAATAATGTTCTGAAACATACACCTCTACAGAAAAAGCCAGTTATTCTGAAATACAAATGTAAACTAGGAAAACATTGTGACATCATCACAGACATGCTGCGATGGTACAGTCCCCACTTGCCAAGTCACACAGCCCTCCCTGCAGAGTTCTGGTGGGACTGGTACACTTGAAATTTCCATCTGAGAGAATCTGTGATTTTTTTGTTCTGGGGTTCTCAGACAGGAATCTTCTGTACCCCCATCTGGGAAGCCACTGTGCTCAGAGACAAGAGGTGGAAAGAGGCCTGGGCTCTGCTCTGGGTGTGTCCCTTTTCACTTTCTCCATTATTTTCCTTAAGGTGTCTTTACCTCAGCTGGACATGTTGTCCCTGAACCCAGAATCTGTCGGTCTAACCTCTTCAGTCTTCTCTGAGGTGAGGAAGTAAATGGGGTGGAGATGGAATCAGGGGTTACTTCTGTTTCATGCAGACTCCTGACACATCCTCCTGGGCCCTGCTTTACCTGCACTTCTAGTTTGAGGGGTGTCTGGAGCCCCTAATTCCTAAGCATTTCTGGGGAGTCAGAAGTGCCAAGGAACCTGCTCTTAGGCCTCTCACCTTACTGGCTTAATCCAGATGTTCTGTGGATGTACCAAAATGTGGTTGCTAATATCTTCTCTCCCTCTTGAGTGTATTCCTATCTTACCCTTTTGACTTTGCTTTAGTAGGGTTTATTGAGGAAGCAACAGCAAACATAATCTGGTACATTTTATAAGGCTACAACTAAAATTTTTATAAGAGTAAAAATGTTATAAAAATAAAACTTGAAAGTAAATTTCTCAAAATTTACCTAATTTATAACTATGATTTTTCTATCAAAGATAATTTATTGTTATTACCACAGCTTCATGAAGGCAGAGATCATCTGCATTTTATGTATCACTACATTGTCTAATACAGTAGAAGTGATCAATAAATTGATTAAGTAAACTGAATAAATACAGATATGATACAAAAATTGGGATCTTTAGTTTTTATGATTTTACCACTTATCTCACTCAGAGCTGCTATAGCAATATTTAAAAAAGCAATCAGAAATATATATACAGATTAATTATCCTTCATCTAAAGTGCTCAGGACCAGAAGTATTTCAGGTTTCAGATTTCGTTTTTCCACATATTTATGCACATACATATGTATTTATGATACCTTGAGAAATTCATTTGTTTCATGTATATTATATATGTTTGATATATAATTACCTCCAGGCTACATGTATAGCTAAATGTATATTACATACAATGTTTTAATAGTTTTGTGCATGAAACAAAGTTCATGTGCACCAAAGCTCAGAAAGCCAAGGTGTCTCTCTTGCGGCCATCCATGCATGTAGACCATCGGTGACTGTCTAGCACCATCACTGCTCCTAGGAATTTTCATGTGACCAACAAACAATCATGTTCTTATACTTGTTCACACATAAGTACTAAATAGTTAAAAATATGACATGGCCTTAATACTGTGGAAAACCACGATTTCAGGGTTACTAGGCAGCAATGGCACTGTCGCCAGAACCTGTGTCGTCCACTAAGCAGTGGGGGCTTCAGTGTCCACCTGTGATGCTGGGTTTTGGTTAAAGGATTACTGTGGATTTTATTTCTTGGCGAGAAGAAACATCAGAAGCAGGAAGCAAGTTGTCGGGGGAAGAGGAAGCATTTTAAAATGTTCCTGCAGGGTCTTCTGCCTCACTGGCAACGATCTGTCTTAGAGGTCTCGCTGGTTTTCGTGTTCTGCTGGGAATCCGTGCTGCTCGTCCCCCAGTAAGACCTCTGTGCTCTCTCACCATGCTGTCCAAAGGCATTTTTGCTGCAATGTTAACGTTGTCTCCATTGTCACTATTACCATAATCATCTTTTTTTGGGGTACTTGTGATTGAACTCAGGGGCACTCAACCACTGAGCCACATCCCCAGCCCTGTTTTGTATTTTATTTGGAGACAGGGTCTCACTGAGTTGCTTTTGCTGAGGCTGGCTTTGAACTCGTGTTCCTCCTGCCTCAGCCTCCTGAGCTGTGGGACCATGATCATCTTGATTCAGACCTATTTAAACTATTTTACATCTGTCAATGAACAACTAGAGCTTCGTTACTGATGTTAAAAACTTATTTGATATTTCTTTCAGCTTACTGTCAGACTCTAAAGATACTTTTTTTTTTTTCAAGTGTAAGGAATTCAGATAGCTTGTTTTTCTCACTTAACAGATGGAATCCTCAAAGTCGCCACCTTGTTCATCATCATCACTGAACCCAGTCACAGGCCAGGAGCTGTGCCAGGCATGCCCACCTATGTCTGCCATCACCGTGTTCCAAGTGTTGGCAACAGCACACACAGTGCCTTCATGCTCAACTCCTGCTGAAAACTTCCACACTCACACAGCTGTTCCCTGCTGCCAGCATGCTGTTTACGAAAATGTTTTATATTTATTCTTTAGTCACTTAAGGAAGCTCTGGTCACATGGCTAAATTAATCAAGCCACATTTAAGGAAAGTACTTGGCATAAACATTATTTGTGAGCAGTTCAGCAGAAGGTGAGCACACAGATCTTGCAGTCTTCACCCGGTCCAGCTTCCCTGCAATGAGCACGAACAGCTGGCACAAAACAGGAAACCAACACAAAGAGGTCCCTCATGCCCAGGCCTTTCTGTGACTAGCAAGACATTCCCTCTTTAAAACCTTGGTCCACCACACCACGTTGACGCTATGTGTACCTGCTTCAGTAGAAGGTCCTGGCACAGTTATTATCTTCTCGGTCCTTAATTCCTTTGGGGCTGTCTCATCAGCTGTGCCAGTGACTCTCTGGGCAGTGACACCCAAACAGTGATGTTTCCTCAGGATTTCAGACTTGTTCTAGCATCAGATTTTCCTCTGCAATGACCTTGGCAAGCTTGTCTGTGAATTTCTCTGCTGCTTTGTGATAAGAAGATGCTTCATCACCACAAATCTTTAAAAATTTAATGCCGTATCTCAAATTTCTGCAACTAGCCTGTTGAAGTTCATGATAACCTCAGTTCTCAGTCCATGGGGATGGATCTTTGTTTCATGACCAACATTCCATTAAAGGGCACATGATCACTCTGACGCTAATGGACCCACTCAATACACAACCGAGACCTTCATATTTGCCTTTGTGCAGTGATTATCTATTTTTTACCAACTTCTTTTTGTCACTTTCACACAGAACTTCACCCGTTTGTCCCTCCAACCCTTTAGGTGGTATGCAGCGGCCACTGCAACACCGTGTTCTTTGGTAAAACATTTTGCTCTTGCATTGCTCTGCAGTTTCTCTAACAGCTTGACTTTCTCTGCTAGAGATAAACAAATGGCTTCCTCTTTTTCTTATCATTGTTACCCATACAAGTGTCCACAGACCTTTTTGACATTTTCACCAATATCTTTATATCACAGAGCACAGAATACAAAAAATAAAAATTAAAAAAAAAACAGTTAGATAATGCATGTAGGTATGGATGCCACGCGGGCATTGCGGGGCACCTGCCCTCAGCACATGGGGCTCACACATGTGCCATGTTATCCTCTGTGGATGGTGGATATGTGTGAAAAGACATCACACCTGAAGGAGGCTGAGATGGTCTCATGTTCCTTGGGGCACTGAATAAACTGCACTGTGTGTCTGTGTTTTGACTGTGACCTATCACACCAGGTCATGAATTTCTTCCCTTCTGGCATCAGTGGGTGCTCAGAAAGTTTTGGATTTTGGATTTTCAGATTAGGGATGCTCAACCTGAACCTAATATGGGAGACAAGAATGGTGTATTGTATAAAATGAAGTCCTACATTACAAAAATTTTATTGTGATTTTGCATTCTATACAAATAATTTCCCGAATAGAAACACAATCAGCATTCAAATTCACTTAGTTATCCTGAGTGATCAGTAGTGTAAAAATAAAATTTTTATTATGACTGCATCAATTAATATTTAATATCAATGAATAGGTATATATTAGCTACTGCATGTTGGTTCATTTTGAGCAAAAACCCATCAAGATTATCAAAGAATGAATTCTAGTACAACCTTGTCATTCTTATCAATTGAATTCAAAGGGACATCACAGCATGTCCCGCTTCGTAATCATAATGTAAGTTGAATGTGCTTTGTTTTGTGATTATTTGTTGGCTACCATCTAAGCCATAATTCTTCAAAAGGCCAAATGGCTAATATTTTAGTTAGTTTACAGATTTTATGGGAAAAGGTATACATTGTTTTTCTTTAAACTGAAGAATTCTGATGCATCCATCAAAGGTTTACAGCAAATCTAACAGGATGGTTTGACAGTAATTTTAAACTAAAAATCTTTATAGTCACTCATTCCTTTAAACAAAGTTGCATGGAGCCCATAATCCATAGGGTACTACTGTCCTATTAAATGTTTATTCTATAGCTAATTTTCATCCTTGTTTACATTCTGCTATTACTAACTTCAAATTAAAATATAATACTCACTTCATCAGCCACAAACTCCTTACTCAGACCAAAATCTGTCAGCACCACATGGCCATTAGAATCAAGTAGAATATTCTCAAGCTTAATGTCACGGTATATAATCCCCAACTGTAAAAACAAACAAACATGCATTTTAAAATAATTTCCAAAAAATTAATCAGGACAGTCTTTCTTATCTACATTTAAAAAAAAAAAGCATTTCCCTCCTCAGATCCTGTGGCTCCTAATGACCATCAGGGCAAATGTAAATGTCTCCTTGTCAGGGCCATCTGCTCAGTTCCCCAGAACTCTGCAACCCCATCTCCAGTATCTTTGTAGAGAAGACCTCCACCTGTTGGACCAGCTTCTTAGTATCTCCCTGCTGACTCTTGCTTCTTCCTGTCCCTGCAGATGATCTTCAGGGGCCTTCTTAGCCAATCCTTGTCCATTATTTCCTAATGGCTTCAGAAAGCTTTCCCACTAGCAGGTCCCTCACTGGTCACTGGTCATTTCCTTCTTTTTCATCCTATACCACCTATGTTTATATTGTACTTACCTATAGGGGAATAATATTTTCTGGCATTTCCTGTTTGTCTTGATAAACTTATACTCTAACTCAACTTTTCACTTTTTTTGTGCATTTCTCCAGTATCCAGAACAATGCCATGTGTTAAATAGATAATTAATAAAGACTTGTTGAACAACAGACTCTTAAACATGAAGGTTAAAGATCATAGGTTAATTTTAGTTTATCTTTAGTTCTAAATGTGGAAAACAAATCAATTAAATAACATTTACAGAGTCATGCATTGCTTAATGACAGGGAGTTTCATTAGGAGGTCCTGGGATTGGGCAGACATTGTAGGGTACTTACATGAGGCTACATAGTAGAGCCTACTCTACACCTAGACTATAGGAACAGCCTGCTGCTCCTGGGCCACGATGCACAAAACAACACGAAATCAAAATGAGCTTAAGAGAAAATGATTATATGGTAAACACAAGATGTTATGAAGCTGATGCCAGTATAACACAGCATACTGTCTTACAGAAAAACCTTTTTTAAACAAGCAGGAGTACATTCTCAACAGTCATTTATTATCATTAGCAAGTATTATTGTCCTATACTTAATTGTATGTCATACTTTTATGCAACTGGCATGCTGCCATTTGTTTCCACCAGCACCACTGTAGTCACTTGAGTAACGAGGTGCATTATGACAGTGATGACATCACCAAGTAATAGGAACTTTCAGCTCCAATAGGATCTTATGGAACCACTTTGCATGTATTGTCTGTTATTGAAATGTTGTTATGTGGCGCATTCTCTATTCTGTTTTACATGTAAGTTTTATAGTAAAACAATTCAAGTATTACATAGAAATATCTACCTAAGTTACATAAGAGGTGTTTGATCTACATGAATGTTGTATTTCATGTTTTTAGTTAGTCAGCCTGGATGAAATATTTTTAAACTTAGAAATCCTGCTTTCCTCAACACTAAGTATCTGAAAAAGCAGATTCTTCCTTAATAGCTCTCAAAAGTGAAATCAAAATTACACAAAGAAGAACACTAGGCAATTTCCCTCCATTATCTTCAGTGTTTTACGTGAAAGATAGGAAGGAAAACATCTGGTATCTATACTGAGCAGATATTTAACTTAAGCATTATTCACATCTAACAACAGTAGTATGT